TCCCTGACCTTGGAAACCACACCAGGTTCCCAGCGCCCTGACCAGCTGCTCCATCAGAAAAACTCTGGCACAGAAAAGCATAACCAGACATTTTGCTCACACCTTCTGAGAAAGCCAGAGAAGGCAGAGAAGTGTGTGGGCCTATGAAAATAAGAAGCAACACAGAAAGGATGTAGGGGTTGGTTAAAAATAAAACTTATCAGATGAGAATTAAGTCCTGAGAATGTTATCTCTCCCCGCAGGAGGGTGGAAAAAAATATAGGCATGTCAAGGAGAGCACAGGCCACAGGATGAATAAGCATAAAAAATAGGAGGAAATGACCAAGCAAACGTGCCAAACGTGCTGGAGGAGGACCTCTGGAGGTACGGACTTCCCAGGATCACTCAGCTCTCCCCGGAGGAGGAGTCACTGAGAATTAGAGAATTAATAGAAGCCCAAACCCCTAGAGGGATAGGAAGAAACTGCCAGAGGCACTGTTTGGTGGGGAAAGACCTTTTTTTTTTCCTCTCTATGCCTTTCCAAATAGATTATATCCTTTTTCGTATGTACGTGCATTACTTTCTTTCAAAAGAATTAATGTCTATGGAAAGTTCTTGGGAAATTCCTACTTACCAGCATCTTATGGCAGGTAACCTGGTCCCCAATAAATTTTTCAAAATCGAGAGAGAATTTGTGAATACTTAAATTCTTTCCCAGGTGCTCGCTTCTCCCTCATCTGCCCAGGGCCATGCCCCAGCCCTGAAGGGAAGAGGCTTGCTGGGAACAGCCTTTCTCCTACTCTGAGACCTGTGAACCTGAGCTATTCCCAGAAGTCTCTTCAAAGGTGCACACCACACCATGAACTGTTCTCTCTTAAATCCCACTTCCCCTGCAGCTCTTGAATGATAAATATTCTTTCTACTCCTTCATCCCAGCTGGGTGCACTTGTGTACACCAATAATCCCAGCAATTCAGGAGGCTGAAGCCAGAGGATTACAAATTCAAGGCCAGCTTCAGCAATTTAGCAAGACACTGTCCTGAAATTAAAAAATTAAAAAAAAAAAAAAGGACTGAGGATGTAGCTCAGTGGTGAAGCACTCTTAGGTCTAATCCCCAGTAGCAAAAAAAAAAAAAAAAAAAGACATTCCTTAATCCCAAGGTCACATTTGCCCCTTCATACATTATACATAGGTCATAGGGATGGATATGTGTTTCCCCTTAGAAAAGGGCAAAACAGACTACCCATTAAATTAACTTATCCACTTCTAAAGTAATTTCACTCCTCTGCTTTTAAATCTATTTGCAGAACTGAGACAATAAAACACAACAGCCATTCTCTGAGATGTTTCTCTAACTTTAAAAAAATAAAAAAATAGCTGGGTGTGGTGGCGGCCACAAAAAGAGCACAGTATGCCCAGTGATTCTAGAGGTTCACAAGTTCAAGGCCAACCTAGGCAACTTCATGAGACCTTATCTCAAGATGAAAAAAGGACTGGGGATGTAGCTCAGTAGTAAAGCATCCCTGGGCTCACTTCCCAGTATGGGGTGGGGGGGAAACACCACACAAAATAGCCCTGTATAAACGTTCTGAAAAATTTTGTCACTCAGGAACATTAAGGAGCAAGTACTTCCATAAAAGATGTCTTTCCTAAGTGCTAAGTTTATCAAAGATCAAACAAATGAGATCTAAGGATGAAATGTGGCCCCTTTCCAACACCCAGTCTTTCACAGTACATAAGCCAAAGAGCTGAGTATTTTAAAGAATTTACGAAGACATCCTTCTACAGATAACTTAAAACGATTAGGTAGATAGCCCAAGTACCTTGGAGAACTAAAAATGTTTGTAAATCTGCACTCACTGTCACCGGGAGGTGAGAGAAGTATTCCACTTCCTTATCAGATGGAGAGCTATCAGCAACAGAACCCACCAAGCTCTGCCTCCAGACCAAGGTGGGCAGTTAGGTGAGCCAAATAGAAAGGCAACATCTCCTTTACTCTTCACAGAATGCATCCGACATAGGGACAGGAGGGCAGCCGCTTGTATCTTTGCCAAAATGTCCTAGGGTGCTGTGGCCTGATGGAATTTCTCCAGACTGTACCCAGGAATCCCAGTGTTTCCTGTTCTTAACGGTCCCTGCTGCTTAATAGATATTAGGGTGGGGACACACACCAAAGAGCTTATGCAGAGCCTTAACTCAAGGGGCCAACGTTGGATGTAAACCCAAAGCTCCTCCATGATCCTATGAGGCCTGGAGGGAAGATCCCATTTCAAAGTCAAGAGAAAATTCAACCATGAAGCTGTTTTGTGTGTGTGTGCTTTTGCAATACTGAGGATTGAACCCAGGGGTGCTCTACCATGGAGCTACATCCCCAACCCTTTATTTATTTTGAAACAGATTCTTGCTAAGCTGCCCAGGCAGGCCTCCAAACTTGTGATCCTCCTGTCTCAGCCTCCCAAATTGCTGGGATTACAAGAATGTGCCACCATGCCCCGCTGTGACACTGATGTTTTCTGCTTGTGTGATTGCTATCAAAGAATTGACACTCTCTTCAGATGCTGGACATGACACTCTTTGTTAATAACCACAATTATGACTATAATTATTATCATGCAAAAATATCAAATAAGCATTTAAAGCTCTACCTCTCTGATCTGCACTCAGTCCTGTTCTTTTGTTTGGCTTCTGCTCTGCGGGAAGGAGATGCCAAAGACAACAAACACCGAGCTGGAAGTCTAGAGGCAAATGCTGGTGTGCTAGTCCATCACCATATAACCTTGGATGAGCCACCTAGCCTCTCTGAGCACATTTCCTCAGCTGTGAAAGAGGAAGAGCTGTCCCACGGTGGTTGCAAAGAATAAACATGCGAGAGCACGTAGCACAGGCTCCGTCACATAGGTATTCAAAGTACTGAGTCAACCTACCCATTGTTCTCAGCTTCTGTACATCATGACTCTTTAACCTCTAACCCTGGCCTTGAAAATGTGAAGGAGCTAAACCATGGTAAATCCAGCATCTCTCTCTCTCTTTCTTCTATTTTTTGTAGTGCTGTGAACTGAACTCAGGGGTGGCCACCGAGCCATATTCCCAGTCCTTTCTATTTATTAATTTTTTTAACCATTTATTTGATATCAGGTATTGGGTCCAAAGACACTTTACAACTGAGCAACAACCCCAGTTGTTTTTATTTTGCATTTTGAGACAGGTTCTCACTAAGTTGAGAATTTGCAATCACTGCCCATGAATTTGCAATCCTCCTGCCTCAGCCTCCCAAATTGATGGGATTATAGGCATGTGCCCCCATGCTGAGCCAAATCCAGCTTTCAAAGGATCTAAACTATCAACCCAGTGAAAAGCAACATATTAAAGATCCTGGTTAGATGGAGGTAGATTGGATAGTCTCAGTCTTTAATATAAACCAGCATATATTACCCAATAGAGTTCAACCATAGTCAGCTTTATTATGAACCGTTTATTGCCAGTCTGTTTTGATAATAGTCTCTAACTATCTCACCAAAAAAAAACAAAAAACAAAAAAAAAAAACATGGTATTCTTTTCATGCCATTCAAAATAATTCAAGACAGAAGCTAAGTCAATTTTGTATCTTTTTATTTAAAATGACTTTACTAAGAATATCCCTTTTGCTCGTCTTTATAGTTGATTGAATGTCAAAGTACCTGACAGATCAACTCCTGTTTTATACAAACTGCTGACCTAGCATGGCTTTCCCATCATTGCTTTCTAAAACAACACAGGAAATTTCAAGACTGAACAGCCAAAAGAAAGTAGGATGATCTAGCCTCTAAAAAAAACCTGAGTTATTTAAAGATAAAAAATAGAATCATGTCTGAATGGATAATTCATGATTCAGACAGCCCAGAATATAATTGGTATTAACTACTCTACTAAAGATCTACTTAATGCACTTAGGTAAGACTTTTTATTTCTGTGAAATTGGATTTTTGGTTCAAAATTTAATCTCCTACCAACGACTCTGTACAATATAGATGATGTAACGGTGAGGTAGGCTCTTAACATTTCATTGCCAGGAATATAAATGAAATTGATCAGATTATTTGCCAAATAATGTTTCTTTAGCAGAGCTAAGTCCTCCCCTAAGTGGGCTGTCAAAGAGAAGAGAAAAAGCAGACATTGGGTATTAAACTTATATTTTCAGCTTAATTGTGCAGAACTCAAATTCAGCCATGAAAAATCAGCCTGCATGATACACACTGATTTGTTGTACAGTTTATTAGTTTGTAGGACTTTTGTCTGGAGGCAATGAGGTCAGACCTTTTGGCAAGTCAAAATATCAATTAAAATGAAGATTAAAAAAAAAAAATAAGTCATGCTACTGGAACTACACAACACTCCTTCAGAATAGTATCACTATTGTTCTCCTGACATTCGTAATCATAGAGAAAATACAGTCACAAGATTACAGAATATAAAATTTCCTAATAAACAACCTTCCTTCTTTCTTTTTCTTTTTCTTTTTTTTTTTTTTTGGTACTGGGGATTGAACCCAGGGTCACTTAACCACTGAGCCACATCCCCAGCCCTTTTTATTTTTTGAGACAGGGTCTTGCTAAGTTATTTAGGGCTTTGCTAACTTGCTGAGGCTGGCCTCGAACTTGCAATCCTCCTGCCGCAGGCTCCCGAGTTGCTGGGATTACAGGTGTGTGTCACTACGTCCAGCCCATTCTTTCTCTCTTAATGAGTTTTTAAAAAATTGGTTCAAAGGCAGAATGTACTCTGTCCCATCTGAAACTATTCTTCTGTTATTCCTAGAGTCCCAAGATACAAAAGGGAAGAAATGCTATTTGAGCAGTTTTGGGATTCATAGTGGTCAATGAGTGACTGGTTTGGAGATTAAACACATAGAAAATGACACTATGGAAAAGCATTCTAAAACTCTTAACCTAAATTTATAAGTCAATAGTGACAGAAAGGTGTGTGTGAAAATTTTTGTGAGCCCTTCCTGCAAAAGATGGAGAAATGAATCAAACCATTACAATACTAACAGAGGAGACTGAGTTTATTCAACAAGTATTTACTGAGCCTTTACTATGCACCAGACCCTATTTTAGGTGCTGGAAATATATTGCATTGATTAAAAACATACAAAATCCCTGTCTTCATTGTGCTTACACTCTAGAGGAAGGATACAAGACATTGAACGTAATAAATAAGTATATTACATAGTAAGTTAGAAGGTGATAAGTACTACGATAAAACAAAATAGAGCAGTTGTGAGAATGAATGACAAGTCTTACGTAGAAATCTTCCAAAACCATAGAAGGAAAAAATTTATTTCTTGAAAAGACTAGATATCCATGCCCAACCAAAGAAAATGTTTCTGAGTCTTTAATGTTTACAAGATTTTCAAGTAGGAAATTAATGGGCCTTTAAAAATTCAAACGTAGAATTGAAAACTAGGAAGGGTGACTTTCATAAAATAGGTGCTCAACGCAGAGTTCCTGAAGCACTGCCAACCACAGTGGATCTGAGGAGTCAAGTTGGCTAAAGAAAGTCCAGTAGGGACACACAATGTAAAAGAACTCAAATAGCTTTGAGATTTTTTTAAATTTCCATTTCCTCTTGACAATGACACCCTATCCTTTTTTATTTTGTTAAAGAAGGGTGGGCTCATTAAAAAGGAAGGAACACTGAAAAAAAAAAGAGAGAACACCCATATTTCCGACTCCATCTTCCTTCTCAAACAACTGTTCACACTGCACACACGTTCACTGTCTATCAACAGATCTAGCTCTCTTCACACTCTTTTCAGAGGCTAACCCTAAACTACCAAGTAGACTTTTGTCCTCTGATTTAAATTCAAATTCCCAATCCAACAAAACAATTAATGTCTAGTTTGGGCCTCTGGGTAAGTGGTGTCTCCAGGTAGAAGGGAAAATAAAGAATGAATGGTGATATACTCTTCAATCAGAAAATCATTATTTTTAGCAAAATGGGACAGAAGCATAAAGTCCAAATTGTAAGATAAGGAAAAAGGAGTGTCTGCACCATGGGACACTTACAAATCGATCACTATGACAGCAGCCCTTTCTAGAGGTCATTTTTCATTGGGTTGTAGTAATTCTCCAGAAACTCCAACAGCTCTGGATTAACAACATCTGGAAATGGTTCAGATGACACCAATTTCTATCTCCTTCTGTTCAGGCTTCAGTGATGTCTCTCTGTGGCGTATGTCACAAATTGGTTTCTTTGCAAACCTCCTCCTTTCAAATCAGGAAATGTAAATAAAGTGCAAATAAAATTCATTTCTGTGCTCCCAGGGTCTAGTTTTGATAGCCAGTATCACCAAATCTATCAGTTAAACTGCTGGCCAACGAGGATGTCTGCAGGTCTTTCTGGAGTTAGCAAATGAATTCATCTGGAGAAGACAGTCCAAGAAGTCCTGGCAAGAAAACATGAAGTACCACATACAAGACAGGGATGTGAGGGATGCAAGCAGTAGAGGGGAACTTATGGTCAATGAAGAGGTCATCTTTGGATCTCAACTCTTAAAAGAGAATTCTGGAACCATTACTAAAATGAACAAGGCCAGCAGATTTCAGAGCACAGTCAGTCTTCAGTAAGGGCAGATTCAGTTTTCCCTGGGTTGGGGACAGAAAAGAGAACAAAAAAGTAGAATGTCAAATCTGTTGAATTTTATGTCACAAATGTCACCAAAAAAGTTCCAGTAAATACTTCCCATTTTATAAAGCAAATGAAGCCCTAATAGAGTCTTGCCAAAAAAAAAAAAAAAAAAAAAAAGGCAGTCTTCTTTGGAGTTTGATGGGTATATAGTCCAAATGGGTCACAAGCTAGGCAACATTACATACATTTCATTATTGTAAGACTTCTTAAGAGTCTTTGTTTAATATGCAATAAATACTGTCACTCTTCAAGAGAGGAATACAGTACGTAAGCATTTACCATATTTGGGGGGCCAGAAGTTTACCTTTTCTTAAACCAACGTGTTAGGATTAATGTTTTAGTGCACCATATTTCGGGGAATGCTACCTTACAATACTGGTTGGAGGGGACAGAAATGGTGTTGTCATGTTCAATTTATATTACATGGATCCTGCTTTTAAATTGAGTCACAGTGCCACACTAACATAATAAATTAGCCATTTTAGCTGGGTTCTATTATGTTTTATTTGTAATGTATCAAAATCATGGACCAAATTTAATATTACCTATGACTAGTTAATACTGACAAAAGTTAATTATTTCTATTGATTATAAGCCATCATAGAATTGGTGGGCAATCTCAGGGAATGCCCTTTGTGTTTTTTCTGATTTTTCCAAGAGTGCTAAATCCAATGTTTCAGGATTAAACCCAATAAGGTGTCATTATGTAGGGAGCTAAACCACAACTGAGATTAAACAGAGTATATTACAAAATATATAAAATTAAACTCAAGGATTGACTTGATCAAAGGTCACAGGACATTATCAAACATGTACTACCACGTACTAGTTAAATTCCTGAATTTCTTTTTGGCTTCTGCCCTTTCTTCAGCATCAAAGTACCAAACAGTCATAGCATATCTGTAAAAGATAAGCAGGTGTAAGAAAAGACTACTTCCAAAAAAAACCAAACTTACTGTAAATCTCACATTAAAGTCACTCATGAAACCAACATGTAAAGGTTTACCTATTATGAGAAGTCTACCCCAATTTTAATTTAAAATTAATTTCTCTGGTTTCAATTCTGTTTAAATGCTTTAATGAAACACATAAGGATGCCTGGTGTGGTGGCACACACCTGTAATCCCAGCTACTTGGGAGGCTGAGGCAGGAGGATTGCAAATTTGAGGCCAGTCTCAGCAACATAGCGAGATTCCATTTCAGCATAAAATTCTTAAGGGCTGAGGATACAGTAAAGCACTATTGGGTTCAATCTCCAGTATGAGGTGATGGGATTGGGGGCTGGGGGTCCTGTCAACAGATCTTCTTTCTCACGAATCTCAGGCTCTTAGCAGAAAAGACAGGGAATTAAATATGTAACAACAAGGAAATGTGACCTATATGGAAAAGACTGGAAATGAGTCATTCTGCTAAAGACTGGGAAACTCAAGCTAGTGGGGAGAGAACAAAGAAAATAAGGTAACAATTGAGTGAAGCTTTGAAGAATAACTTATTTAAATGATAGGACAAAAAAAAAATCTTGGCTTTCTTTCTTTAGTTTGGGACATTGAGGCAGAGATTCAATTGAATAGCAATACCCTCAAGCTTTCTATTGCATTCCAATTAATTTGCCTTATCCTGTCCGAGATAGATTGTAACAGAAGCCATTATTTCATGCTTGGGTTTTTTAAAGGTTTCCTTTTGTAATTATTATTCACTACAGCAATTTCTATAACACTTGATTTGTTTTCAAGGGCTTCTCATACACATTTGCTAATGTCCCTGTGAAGTCAGTCACCATGGGACTGGGAATAACCAGAGAATTCTACCACATAACACAGGGTCCAATTAATGTACCCCATAAAACAAGCCACAGGTAGACTTCTGTGGTAGACTTCTGTGGTAGAGGTGATTACCTGCTTATCTAGAGCTCAGTCCAAGCTGGCATTGAATGTGGAACTCTGGAGCTCAGATGGGTGACTTCTGAAGGGGGATTAGTGATTTTCTCTGAATTAGGCTTATTAAGGTTTAGTTCTTAATAAGAACTAAAAACTCTCTACCCAAACTCTCTGCCCCTGCCCTCATCTGTTATTCTTAGCACAGGCTACACTCACATCACTCCCATACTGCCAGATCTTTAGCTTCAACCATAAATCAAAGACAAATGAGAGACAGAATTAAGATTTTTACCAGGAATTCCTAGATTAATACTAAACAATACAAAGTTGCTCAGTTATGCTGAAAATCTTCACATCTGTATGCTAATAAAAAAGATTTTAAAACCTCTAATTGTTGAGACATGGATATAGCTAGTCCAACAGGCCAATTTTATGCTACAGAAAAGGTAAAAAGGAAAAGAAGTCAGAGCAAATTACTTTTAAGTTTCTCTGCTTGTGACTGGCAATTTGTAAAGTCATCTAAGGTAACCACATAGAACTGCCTTTATTTGATATGGAAGGGGTACTGAGAATTTAATTCAGGTGTATGTTTTGCCGCTGAGCTATATCCCCAGTCCTTTTTATTTTTTATTTTGAGACAGGGTCTCATTAAGTTGCTTAGCACCTCACTAAATTGCTGAGGCTGGCCTTGAACTTGTGATCCTCCTGTCTCAGCCTCCCAGATCACTGGGATCACAGGCATATGCCACCACACCAGCAACATTTAAGTTTCTAAAAGGGGAGGAGAAAAGGAAATAAAACAAAGCCAGTGAGAAATCTAGAATCCTATGTACACACACCTAACAGAAAATAATTTGTTAATATTTATTTCAAACCAAAGTTTGATTTGTATACTACAGAACCCAAAGTTTCTCCTTTAATTTTTATCACTCCAAATAGGTTTACCTATCAGCTTTGGGGTGTGGTCCATCCCTTACATGCACAGAACATGAGTTTAGAGAGTTCACTGGGAATTAGACTTTGTACAACAATCCCCCAAAGAGGAATCAGGGCCCTGGCTATTACCTGGTGGCATAGGAAGGCTGGACTTCATGCGGGTTCCTGCGATCTGACCAGAAGAACAGGAGTCTATCAAAAATGGGCTCCACATCAGCTATGAATGATTTCCCTTCTGGAAATATCCGCAGGATCCCACCATGTAGCTGAGGACCATAAGAAGGTAGATCATTTCCTGGCCACATGTACAGTTTATCAACAATAATATTTTTAGCCCCATCTGGAAACAATGCCACTTTCTAACCTCCATTCCAAGTGTGTTTTATCCCCTAATTTTTACTTTCTTAAATTTTATTTCAAACTTAGCTAGAGATACCTTATGTACCTCATAACTAAGCCTTCCAACCTCCACAACCATAAAGCCCATGGTACTATTAGATCTTATATAGAATTGCCACTGTATGTTTTTGACCTACCCAAAACCCTAGCAACATCATCTGGTTACATCTAATATTAACAACTTCCTAAGGTATTCATCACATGTAACTTCCCCTTCAATAAGAATTTATAGCTTTCTTCTCTGCACGCCTCACTCCTATCTGACCTCATTAGTTGAATGTTACATGCTTTTTTTCCCTGTACTCTCAGACTACCTGTACCTGTACCTTTTATGACATACATCACTCTTAAACTGCTTTTTTCTTTTTTCTGATGTATACCCAATCTATCCTACTAGAAAAATCACATTCTCGGTATAATGCAGGCCTACCACATCAATGTTCCTCCACAGCACAATACCTGACACTAGCAGAGACACAAGTATTTGAGGGTCTCATACTTTGCAATTTACTGTTATTGACTTGATAACTGTACCCATAGCAGCACCCATGAAGGTTCTGAAAGAGAGCTAATGGATATATTCCCACCATGTTAATAAAATAGGGAGAATAAGCCTCTTTACTGATTCATTAGTTTCCCAGGTTTCATTTTTCTGACTTTCACATAAAATATACTGCTTTATGATAGCCAGAGTCTGCCCTAATGAACAGGAAATGGACATGCAGAAGGTTCAAAAGCCAAATAAGCTTGAAAAATTCTCTGACTTCCCAGACTCCTAAATCATGCTTAACTTTCAGAGAACACACAAAGTCCAGACGAGTGTGTGTAAGTGTAGAACCAGACTTCATATCTCTCTCTCTCTTTTTTTTATACAAAAATAAGCCACGTAGCCTTGGCATTCACAAACCATAGTAAGCCATGGCAAACGGCCACCAAATGAGACGTATCACTCAGCAAAAGAGGATTGTGTGGGAAATCTCTCTTGGGGATCCTACAGTTCTATTTTTGTGGAATTCTCTCAATGTTGCTGCTGGAAGGGAAAAGTGTATATCTTACTCTGTTCTGAGAGACATATCAGCTCTGAATTATATGGAAAAAAACTGATTTATAATCCTCATATTAAATTACCTTCCCTTCATCAACTACTCCCCACACTTCAATAATTGCCCCCACAAAATTAAGTTCATATGCATTATTTTTATGTCATCAACTATACTACTAATTCCATAGGTGGGGGGAGGGAAAGCATAAAGGAGAAATAGAAAAGATTTATCAGGAGGCAATAGGGCTATTAGGAACTCAAAACTCCCCCCTGAGTTACATGAATTCTTCTCCCATTTGGAAGTCACATGCTCTTTTTTCTGAATTCTTAGTCCACCTTATCTGCACCTTTTATGACATATAACCCCACATGCACTGCCACTGTTCCAAAGTACCTTCGCATCCCAATTCTTGTTCAGATAGTAGATGCAGGTGATACAGCGGCCATCACCATTGGGGTTGTCCACATGGCGAACATAACCTGTTCCGTTGCCTGGATAACAAGCCACCATTGCCTAGGGAGAAATTCCAAGGACACGGTTAACAAAGCTGGGCAATCCTCCCCTCCTACTGATAAACAGACAAGCCTCCTTCTGTGATATATGACATTTATGGGTGGTCACTAGATTCTTAATTGCACGTATAGTACATAAATTCAGATTACAAACAGAAGATCAAAATATTAATCTTCAGCATGTAAGATTAACAGGCAAGTCACACCCAGTGGAAGATGGTCCAACCACACCCTTACAGTCCGAGAATGTTTTAAAAGACTTATAACCCATCTACCTCATCATTAGGATGACCCACATTTCTGTAAAATTCCTTAATGAAAATCCAGGTTCTGGGTTCCCATCCTCAACCCACCCACAAGATCAGAATCACACGTGTGGAGCTTAGAGATCGGGCCTGGTTACTGAGTATTGCTGAATGGCAGAATCGTACTGTCTTATTTACAAATAGACAAATCCAAACACAGAGGAGGAAAAGGGTAGGCTTACTCAATACAAGGTTGGGCCAGAGGAAGGCAGAAGGGTCAAGAGGAAGCTATGTCCTAACTTAGCAAAAGCAGCCCAGGGAGATCCCTTTCAGGGAAAAAGCTACACATATCTTTTTTTTAAAATTTGAGGGGTGGTACTGGGGATTGAAGCCAGGGGCATTCTGTCACTAAGCTACACCTAGAGCCCCTTTTTGTTTTTTATTTTGAGACAGGGTATCACTAAGTTACCAAGGCTGGCTTGGAATTTGCAATCCTCCTGCCTTAGTGGGATTACAGGTATGTGCCACTGGGTCCCCAACACACATCTTAATATGCACTTCTTAGTGGTTTTCTTCTTTCTACTGATAATTATCAAATCGAGTGATAATCTGAAGTTCTCTTCCTTTGTCTAAATGCTACCTGTATCAAATCAGATAGAGAATAAAGCAGAAAGCCATGTCAGAAAACTTACTGAAAATTACTATTTGAGAGTTACTATCAGAGGGTAAAAAAACTTCTAATCGTTTCATGAAAAAATTGTAACAGAAAGTGGGGGGCAGGGGAGCAAAGTACAAAAGCCTTTTCTTTTCTTTACAGGACACTACTATATTTTTAAAATATGTTTATAGGGATTCAATATGTGCAGGAGATTAGTGAATTGGTAATATAAAATGAGGGCAGAGAATTTTTTTTCCTGTTCACTGATGTATTCTTAGCACCTAGGACAGTGCCTGACACATAGATGGTGCCTATTTAAAATTTGATGAATAAATCAAATTTGGCTCTTTCCCAAAAAAGTATGCTCACATTCTACCTAGATTGATAGGTCTTTCTGCCATTTTAAAAAACCTACTTTCAGGAAGAATGGAAGAACTTTGGATTGAGCAGAGGGGAGTGAGGGGAGGGGAGCAGGTAGAGGAGTGGGAAGGACGATGGAATAGGATGGACATTATTACCCTATGTACATGTATGATTGCATGAATGGTGTGACTATATCATGTACAACCAGAGAAATGAAAAGCTGTGCTCCATTTATGTACAATGAGTTGAAACACATTCTGCTGTCATGTGTAACTAATTAGAACAAATAATTAAAAGAAAAAAAACCCACCTTCAAACATATATGTGGAGAAACAGGTCATAATATTCTCTGATAAATGGCGGGGTTGCTTCATTGGTAAAACAACCAGCTGGGAAGAGCATCAAACTGATGCAGTAATAGTTCAATGAATCAGTTTCAATGCAGGTCATTGCCAGTAGTAACTAGGAAACATGGAACTAGGCATCTCACACATTATGTACTAGAATAATCAGGCTGAATGGTAATCTGGCTTTACAATGATCTTAAAGCTTAAATCACCATATCCCCCACACTTCATATCCTCAAGCAGCTAGCCATCTTGCCTTTGAACCTTGAAAATGTTAATGCCATGTCATCCATACAGCTGAAGTTAGCCTGTTAGCTTAACATCTTTCCAAAGATGGGATTTTGAGAAGACTGCAATAAAGATTTAACAAATGATGGTACCTCCAAGTAAAAGATGGCTTAGAGAAAGAGAACTGGAAACAGACAGAAATGATAGGCCTAGTTGGAGAGGAAGAGATAAATGAAGTCATCCATAATGAGTAGGGAATTACCCATCCCTGGAAGCAACTATTAGGATTATAAGAGCCACAACTGAGCCAATAATGAAAGTCACTTAGGCCACAAACAATTACTGGCTAGATTCCCTATCATCTCAGCCTCCCCCACTATGTCTGTCTGAAAAGAAAAAGTACTCCATCAATGCTATAATCTTATATTCTTAAACAGCTCTACTCTAAGGAAAAGGTCAGTGGTCTGGATGTCTGCCATCTAGTGCACTCTGCAACTAACTGTGTGATCCCAGGCTCAGTTTCTTTCCTATAAAGAGGGGCTTAGCTGAGCACACATAGTGCATGCCTGTGATCCCAGCCACAGGAGGCATGGGTAAGATGATTACTAGTTCAAGACCAATCTCAGCAACTTAGCAAGGCCCTAAGCAACTTAGCAAGATCCTATGTCAAAATAAAAAATTAAAAGATCTGTGTAGCTTAGTGGTAAAGTACCCCTGGGGTCAACCCCCAGTATCCCTGCTCCTCCCCACAAAATAGAAGGACTCGGGTTACATGGTCTTCAAAGTCCAAAAAGAGCTAAGACTTGATCTATGCATCAGCCCCAGGAAAAGCAAGATTCTTCAGGGAATTCTGAAATGCTTAGTTGCCTCAGAACTCAGCTTAGATTAAAAAAAAAAAGAAAAAAGAAAGCATAAAAGTACATCCGCTACTAATTGCTGCACGTATAAAACACACATAGATAAAGAGCTAGCACAAATCTAAAGAACTTACTATTAGGACAAAACCCCTAAACGTAAGCAAACATTCTGATTGCTTAAGGGAGACAAAGGGACCATTTTTCTGGCCAGAGCCAATATTCACCCTCTCTCCTTGTTCCAGAAGCCACATGCATCATGTTTGTTACAATGGAAGGAAATTATTGTGAGCCTCAGTGGGCCTGTTGAAACTACACTAGCCAATTGTATCAGTGAGTTTTTGGATGAGTGCCATAGGAGATGGGTCTCACCTCAGGCACATTCCCAACTATCTGCTGATCTCTGACAGGGGCTAAAACTACCAGGCAAAGGATGTGCTAAGAAGCAAACCACACTTAATAAATAACTAGTCATTTGCTTCTGAGCCAATTTGTGCACGGGGCAGTAACAAACTCCGGAAGCTAAGCAGCTCAACTAAGTTGCTATCTAAATCTCATCAATCCTGGAAAGGGACCTAAACTGTATAATGGAAGAAAAAAGCTTTTATGCTTTATTGTTAAAAGAACGGAGCAGGAGTAATTTAATGATTATGTAACCAACATGGCAAGCACTAACACTGACATCCACCAGGAGGATGTCTTATTACAAACCTTTCATTTCTAAAACTTCCTGACTGGATTACTATTTAACTTAGAGAAAGTTAATAACACAATAGTGTCACCTATAGTAGCATATCCAGTGTAGTCCGATTGTTCTAATTCTTGGAAATGTTGATGAATTCACTTGTCCCCTTGTGCATCACCACTCATTCCTCTGGCCCCTCTGTGTACCTGTCAGGCCCCCATCCCCAGAGGCCTCTCCATAGCTCTGTAGCAACAGGAAATGAGAAGAGGAGTGTACCAGGTATTCCCAGGCCGGCTTCAGATCAGAGATATGTGCTCTAGACATCTACGAAGCCAAGTTCAAGCAGGAAGTATGCATGTATTCTTTAAAGATTTATACAGATATATAGAATCATGACCATCCAAGTCCAAGTATCAGATTTGTTCCCTAAATGACACTGGTGGAAAAGAAAACAGTGATAATTGTGAGTTGTTGTTAGTGAACTGACTTTATAAAACTGTATCTCGCTCAAGTTCAAAGATAAAGCCGTAAAATAAAAGTCTATGTTTTTCATTCCAAGACTGAATGAAAATGTTCCTGAAACAGAATGTTCCTGAATGCTGTTAGTTAACCACAGCTTAACTATAATATACAAACCACTGAAAAATTAGCACCAGCAACCTCTACTGTCTATTCAGCAATGATGATCATTTTTTCAGACCACGGGTGGGAAAGGGAACATCTACCCTCCAGTTAGACTTGTACTTCTCTAATAAATTATACAATCCCCAGTGCCACAAAATACAAAAGCAACAACAACAAAAAATCATACCATGTACTTTTGTGCAAGTGTATTTTACATTACTCATAAATTTGGAGTCAGATTTGCTAATAGGAATTGATTTTGAACCAGTTATAATAAAGTGGCATTTCGTGCAAATTTAACTCAGTAAATTAAAACATCAAGTGCCTCACTTTACAAAATTTGCAATACATGAAAATCCATTGTCTTACGTTTGTCAAGAATAGCATAACTTTATGGGGCACAGCAGCACATGGCTATAATCCTAGTCAGATGGATGAGGAAGAGAATCACAAGTTCAAGGCCAGCCTAGACAACTTAGCAAGACCCTTTCTCAAAATAAAATAAACAAGAAAGAGTTGTGGAGGGAATAAAAGAGACCATGCACCTTCTTTAGCCTGGAAAAAACAGCCAAGCAACTCATCACAGTGGAGAAAGTAATAGCTGAAGTTTTCTAGCCAGACATGAGTCTCATTTATATTCAGGTGCCAGCAGGCTAGGTGACATACTTGCCAATGTTTTCAGTCTGAGGGCAGAGGAGCTGAAGGCTACACTTCCGGGGACATTTTTCTGGGTGATTTGTGTTCAGCAGATCTTGTAACACACATATTGAATGTGGACAGCGGGCAGGGCAGTCCCATGGTTGCATGGCCTATGTCCTTCATTCATAAAGATGCCTACTGAGGTTCAGGGGTCCCCTGGTAATTCATCAAGGTGGGGGAGGGAAACAGAGGCACTGAATGTGCTAGCAGCAGCTCTAAAATTGAAATTATCTCATTTAAAAAGTAAAGCAAAAATACAAAACCCTTAAGTATCCAAACTGCTATATGCAGGCATCCC